GTTGGTGGGCAGGCATACGCAAAACGTGACCAAGCCATCGGAGGCGGTGTAAAGCGATTACTTCTCTTAGGGAACGACTATCCACACCCAACACATGATGGCGGACCTCGTCATTGCTCACCCGATGTTTTTTTATTACACAATGTGATTTACAGCACAAGGGGTGAACCCCATACTCAATGATATACTGTAAGGGCATGTGGGGGAACATTCAAGTAAGAACCAATTTGTTAATCCTGCTTTTGAAAAGGGTAGGGTTATAAGAGCTGGGAAACACGGAAGTAGGAAGAGTGTTCCTCAATTTCGCAGTCCTCGGGAAAATTGGAAGATAGAAGTCCGACATTTGGGGGCAGAAACCTAATAAGGTTGACTGGTTGCCTGAGAATGGGATGGACGGGAGAAGGTCAATGGAAGGGGAACCGCTGAAGCGAGTTCGGAAGAGCAGAAACCAAAATAGTAACGAAGAACGTGCCCGGCGCTGAGAAAGCGACTGCAAGGTGGAAGTTAAAGACGGTTCGTCTATCAGCCGGATGGCTTTACGTTGTACACGGTCGAGGAGAGAAAGAGCGGAATACCCATGCGCAACTGCAGTATTCAAGCGTCGGGCGGATTTGAGCTTTGTATAAAAGGAGGTGCTTGGGTATAAAGAAACGCCTTGCGTGGAATAGAAAACCAACTTTGCGAGGCAAGTGTAGAGATAAAACGGGACCAGTAGAGAGAAGAATTTATGGATAAACCCAGGAGGAAGAGAGTTTGTGGAACGAAGGGGCAGAGAATAAAAAATCAACTGATGAGACATATTTAAGAAAGACCGAGAGGAGAGAATTTTTGGAAGCATTGAAATACATGGTTGGTAGAACCCCATGAGGAGATCGGAGGCAAGGGAAGCACTAAAGGTATTACGATCGTGATCGATGTTGGTATTAGCTTGACGGATTGCGGGATAAGAGAGCGAACAATGGAGAGTGGCATCATCGGCAAAGTAGTGGATACGATCAGGTGTTTGAGATAAAGATCGTTGATAAATAAGAGAGGGTGGGTGAAAGCATAGAACCTTGGAGAACACCGGCGTTTACAGGAAATGGCGGAGATAGGATCTCATTTACTCGGACAAAGATGGTTCGCTTGCTGAGAAAACAGAATCCGCGATACCAGAGACGGGTGGAATCCCAACGTGGATAATTTCGACAGCAGACCATGCCAAACGCGATCGAAGGCCTTTGAGATGTCGAGCGAGACCATGTGACTTTCTCCGTGGTTATCGAGTGCAGCCGACCAGGAATGTGGTGTGAGCGCCAGTAAATCACTCGTAGATCGACTAGGGCGAAATCCATACTCACGGTCACTTAACAAACCGCGTTCGAGAAACGCACGCAGTTGGTCGGAGATAATGGTTTCAAACACTTGAGATTATAGATGTAAGAGTAATGGGACGGTAGTTGTTGGGGTCGGAAGGGTCACCGCTCTTTGGGATTGGAAAAATTATGGCATTTTTCCATGGAGTAGGGAGAGGTTTAAGTTCGAGTGAATAACAGAAAAGGCGGCGTAGAACAGGGGCTAACTCCGAGGCATACATTTTTAGGACGACAGATGGAATACCGTCCGGACCGAGTGGTTTACTAACATCCAAACCGCGAAGAGTTCTGCGGACCTTTTTGGTTGTTATGATAGGTAGAGAGGTGTGATTGGATATGTAGGAGGAGGGTTGAACAGTAGAGGCAGCGGATAAGGTGAAGTTGGAGGCAAACCGGGAAGCGAGGAAAGTTGGAAGGGCGAACATTACTTAAAGTCGCTTTAGTGAGGGACCTGAATTTTCGGTTATCGGTGGCGGAACAAGCCAAACGCGCAGCTTTGTGACAAAGGAAGCGTTCTTTAGCTCGTGAATAGTGACCGAGCATTTGTTTCTGGCTTGCACGAAGCGGTTGCAGGATGTGGGATTGGGTGAGTGGCGCCAACGACGGAATGCTGAGTTTTTAAAACGTACAGCACGGTTGCAAGCGGGATTAAACCACTCAAGGGATGGTGATTTGCCGGGTTCGGACAATTGTGGAACATAAAGATATATACCTTGAAGTATAATCTCCGTGAAGTGTCTGAGGAGTGTTTCTTCCATTCCTTGTTGTGGACATTGAAATCCGCGACAGTTCTGCTATACGGTGCAGAAACTTGGCCATTAAGAAGACAAGATAAAGACAGACTGTCGGTTTTTGAACACCGCTGTCTACGCAGCATTCCACGAATCTGGTAGGGTAGCCGGATGAGCAGTGCTGAGGTTAGGGACAGAGTTTTGGGTAAATACGGTCGCCCACTGGATAAGTGGTCGACCTCCGTAGATTACGTTGGCTGGGACATGTGTTACGCATGTCACTAGGTAGGTTACCACGGCGAGTGATGTTCACCGAAGCAGATACCGAGTGAAAAAAGCCAATGGTGGTCAAGTTAAGACCTGGCACGAGGGTATGAAAACCCTAACCAGGAGACTAGGTCACATAGGTCCTGTTAGGCTCCTTGGCTGGGGACCTCGGGATGATCGTAACCGATGTTTAGAGACACTGAGCGATATGGCTGGGTGTCGTAAACAGTGGCGTTCGTGCATCTCAATTTCTTTGCAACCTTAGACCACTGAGCTTTATTTTCTTTTCGATTCCACTTTCCTTTCTTCTCCTATTCTTCATCCAAATGGGCAGCCAGCAGACAGCAACCAAAACCGGCGCACGAAAGTGCGTGGTTTATGGTTGTTCAAACTGAAACTGAAAACATTGAAATCGACAAAGGTGATTTGGCTGTTAGAATTTGCTGACATTAGTGTCTCAATGTTGGAAGACAGAATATCATAAATAGAAGAATCACTGCTGCTCGGGGAGCGGTAAACAATACAAAAATTGTGGTTGAAAGAAGGGAATCGAAGTTTCAGCCACAAGCTGAAATTCACGGTTGGAGAAGTCCAAGTGTGAAAGTCGGTAAGAAGCGACGGAATGACGGGTACAGGAGCAGACAACAGCTTTAGAAAGAAAAGAGGAATGGAGGGAGTAATTAGGGAACCGAAGATGAGTAGTGTCTGACGAGGGGGAGATTTGTGTCCATCAAAAATAAAGCCAAGGGGGAAGATTCTATTAAGTTGTGTACGGAA